AGCAGGTTGTTATTGTAGTCTGTGGGATCCACAGCTAAGTTGGACATTGATGACTCTTATTACCCAGAAGCCTGCATAACACTTTTCTCTGTGTGTGTGCACACACACATGTGCACGTATGTGATGTAACATGCTTATTTTATTGTGATTCACAGTGATAATAAAATTGTAAGACACATGAAGAGTACGGATTAAGCTTAGTCCACCTGTCTTTTTTACCCTGAGTGTAAAATGATGCTTTAAATATTTAACAGCCATCAGGTAAGCCCGGAGCCTGCTGAGCTACAGCAGAAAGAGCATTGGTTAAGCCCTGCTTTTGTTTTAGCTTTGACCTGGTTTTCAGATAAGGAAAAAGTAACCATTTTCCCTGAACGATTATTTGAGGAATTAATAAAATAATGTTAGAGGTCTCCCAAGGCCTGGTAGGCGAAGGCCTACGAAGCCTCAAAGGCATTTTGAAAAGATTAGTCCTAAGGAAATCATCTTTAAAACTGAATAAAACCCTGAAGCCTGGAAGAAATAAGACAAAGGAACCTTTACAGTGGAGGGAGTCTATTGTTTGACTGCATCCAGGCAGGTGGGTGAGAGCAATTTCTCTCTCAGACCCAAAGGGCTCCATGAAGAAATGACCAAAGGAAAGAGAGCATCTAGGAGGAAGTCCCGCCCACTGTCACACACACCCTTTTGTTTACCATAAGTCAGTGCATTTTGAACTCATCTCGTCCCTACAGTTAACTCTAATTTTACCTGCACTGTGTTTGAATTCTTGTTTTGTTCACACCTGCAGTGTACCATGGGAGCCACAGAAGCCATGTATAAGTACTAAATTAAATACTCCCAGGGATAAAGGGACCACTGCCGTCACACAGCCTTAGCCTCTTCCCTCTGTGGATGCTGAGAGTCTGTAGAGCCACTAAGCACCGCTGTGTTTCTCTGTTGTCACATGTTCATGTATACATGAGCTCCTTCCCCAAGCACTGGCTGGTTATAGCCTATATATTTAGGAGATCGAAGCTCAGCAAATTGAACTCAGCAACTGTTTTCCTTGCATGAGATGTTTGCAGTAGAATAAGATTCAATTGTGTTTCCAAACCTTCTCCTTTGTTATATCAGACGAATGCTATTTATTTATTTATTTATTTATGCAAGAATTCTTCTCCAGTAGTAAGTAAAGTTGAAAATTATGCTGGAGATTTGTTCCCACAAACCTTTATCTTTAATGTTGTTACTCTAGGTTTACTAAAACTAAGAACTATGTAGTCTACAGTCCTTACAAGTCCAGAGGAAAACATGGCCAACTCAAGATAATTATGGAAAATCCTCAACACTAAGAGTGGCTGTTCTCTTCCTCCTCAGATTGAAAATTACTGGTGAAACTAAAATAAACAGCTGTGTCGCCGTCTCAAAGGACAAAGTGGTTTCTGAGGACTGTGATTCAGACAACATGTGGATCTGCCAAAAGAAAATAAAACGTCTCTGAAACCAGGTGTAATGACTTCTGCCTGCGATTCCCGTCTTGATTACTTTACCATACAGACCTCTGCACTCACTCTGTCTAGGCTGCCGGCCAACCCAGTGTACAGAAAATCGCTGTGATTCTTCCCGATGCCCCATCCGATTTCTTTATTCTGTAAAGGGGACAAGATGCTGATTTGCCATTCTAAGAGAGGTGCTCTACGGAAAGAAGCCCAGGTAGGCTGAGGGGCACTGGATTCTAACCCTGGAGTCTGCGTGACCTTCACTGGTCTCTGTTCCTGAGATCGCCTGCAGAAAACTGTTTGCAGAGTCCTCTTCTCTCCATCCCCTCCCTCACGCAAAGCCAGCACACACTGATGAAAGCCTTTGCTCTTGCCTGACCCCAGAAGCCATAGTTAAGGGACTTGGGGAAAGGCCTCACAGTGGTTTCAATGGCACCTACAAAAGCCTAGATAAACAGAGCGCTGGTCATGTAATATCCCCACCAGGACATGATGCACCAGCAGACCCTGGGCCAATGCTGGCATCTTCGCGTTGGGTTTCACAGCTCCAGAACTGGCAGAGATGAGCTTCTTCCTTACCAGAGAGGCAATCAAAGGGACGATGGCTGTGTCTTGGTTGCTGTGTCTCCTGATGTTGCAATGCTCCTTTGTGGACAGAGACCTTTGAAGCTGCAGCTGGGCTCCTCCTGCCATGTAAGAAACTAAGGCACCAGGGGACTTTCCCAATGACCATAGATGTCATCAACAATTGTGTTGATGAGCAGGGAAGGGAAAAGTGTGCAGACATCTTGGCCCTGGAACAATTTCAGCAGAGTAAGATAAATGAAGCTGGCTCCCAAAGGGAGGAACTTGATATTGGTATAAGAGAGAGTGGAGCTTGAGGAACTTTAAAAACCTCCACCACATAGAGCCCAGTGGGCTGCCAGCCACCTCCGGTCTCGCCGCTTTGATATTGTTCTGGAGTTTGTTATTGTTTTGAGTTCCTATGCTTTGCTAAATAAACTTGAGCTTAAACTGTGTCTTAGCTGACTTCTGTCTGTGGAAAGACAAAATGGAAAAATAAATCTTTACCCATTGAGTTAGTTAAACTTTTACCAACCTGACACAAGCCAGGCGGAGTGAAATTCAGTTAAGAAAGCACCTCCATAAAACTGGAGTGTAAGCTAGCCTGCCTGGCATTTTCTTGATTAATGATTGATATGACAGGACCCCCACTGTAGGTGATGATGTAGGCTCCCTGAGAAGGTGACCCTGCATAGTATAAGAAGGCAAACCGAATAAGCCTGGAGGAACAAGTTAGTAAGCAGCCTGCATCCTTGGCTTCTACTTCAATTCCTGCCTCCTGGTTCCTGCCCTGAGTTCTTTGCCTGGCTTTCCTTCCAAGGCTTACTGTAAACTATAAACTGAAACGAACCCTTTCCTTCCCAACTTGCTTTTGGTCATGGTGTTTATCATAGCAACAAAAACCTGACTAAGATACCTGGTGATGACATGGTCCACATGAGATAGTTACTGACAAGCACAAACGTGGTGCAGGAGAGATGGCTCAGAGGTTAGAGCTTCAATTCCCAGCAACCACATAATGAGATCTGACACCCTCTTATGGCCTGCATGCATACATGCAGGTAGAACCTTATACATAATAAGTAAACCTTAAAAAAAAAGAAAAACTAATTAAACGGTTAGAACCTTTATTAATTAATAGCCATGCATGAATGGACTCACACCTCTGGGATGTTTCTTGGTACCTGAGCTCAGGAGTACAGCAATTAAAAAGACAAAACTATAATTACATCAGTGTTGGGGAGGGGTATATAAGTGGTGAGGAATTTAGAGTTGCCTAGTAACATCTTCATTGTTTACAAGGCTAGTCTATATCTTCCAGACACAATATATCCAAATCATAGTCAAGTGGACAGCCCCGGAGGCATCAACACCGTGAATGTGGCTGTTGAAGTGACCAGGCAGGCACAAAGTCATGTTGGGACAGCACGGTGGTACATTCGTCTTTTCAGTAACGCAATGACACCATCAGAGCACAAATCTGAAGGAAATAGTCCCATAAATTATCATTTGCATGTTCACCTGGTACTGGTAACAACTTGGCATGGTATTGGCGACAACTTTTTGGCACTGTTTATGACAGCTGAGTCCTTCCTGATGGCTCCTGAGTCATCCCCCTCACACAGATATTACATATGAAATCAAGTGACCCTCAGGACACATTGAATGGAATGTTTTCCCATGACCCCAAATAGATTATCTGTATCCATCACTCCTGCTGCAGCCCTAGTTTATTATTGGATCAGATCCTACTGAGATCATCTCTGAACTCCAGCTATGGAGGTGAAATTCCAACAGGAATGGTTTGTGAAACCTCAGGTCTAATTCAGATGTCACAGGCGGTCACTGAGCCCTGTCAGATCTGAGTCAGTGTTTGTCCACATAAACTATCTGCACCACTAAGTCACATCCAGAGGATGCAATTCCAAGCCTGCCTCCTGTCAATTATAAAACAAAACAGAGATGAGTGCTCATGAGGATACGGAGAAAAGATCAAGTGCCTGCACTGGTGGGGATGAAAGCTGTCCTGGCCGTTCTGCACAACAGCAAGGGAGTCCTCAAAAATTCGAGACACATCCACTTTACCGTTATACAATCCTTTTCTGTGCCTATGTCCTAATAAAAGAAAAACTGTAAAATGGTTTACTTTTAATTTTCAAGTATGGGAGATGGAAAAGGAAGAGATAAGGGGATTTAATTTGTTAGTAGTTATTAGTTCAAAGATGGCTTTCAGATCCTCCTGCCTCTGCGGTTCTAGTGCTGGGATTAAAGGCAGGGCCCCTACCCCTGGCCCCAGAATGCCAGTATGTGTCTTGTTACTGTTTTATGAATCCTGTCAGGGACCCTGCCTTCTAAGGCATCTTTGCACATTTCTTTTCCTTGATCCAGCAATGGAAGACATTGTCTTATGAAGTTTTTACTTTTAGGCGTGTTAGCTCATAAATTCAAAGGGGAGTCTGTTGCCATCTTGTGTCCATAATGCGCAACTGCAACTTTGAATGTGTAGGACATGGGGAGAAATTTCACTTTTACCACCTGGTGGAAACTTAGCAGCCCCTGTGCTGAAATACAGTCATAAAACGATTGATGTTTCAATCTAGAACGCTTTGGAGGGATTTGATCAGCAATAGATAGTACTTTTGAATACAACAGATAATCAGAACAGTGGTGTGGGATAATACTCTTGTACACTCTAAAAATTTTCACTTGTATTGGTTTAACAAAAAGCTGACTGGCCATTAGCCAGACAGGAAATATAGGCAAGGCAATAAGACTAAGATAATTCTAGGAAGAGGAAGGCAGAGAGACATAGTCACTAACCCGATTCAGAGGAAGTAAATGAGAACAACTCCCTGCGAAAATGTACCAAGCCACGTGGATAAACAAGGATTATGGGCTAATTTAATTAAGAACTAGTTAGTAAGAAACCTGAATAATAGACCAAACAGTTTGTAATCGATATAAGACTCTGAGTGTTTCTTTGAGACTGAATGGCTGTGGGACCAGTGGGACAGAAGCGTCCATCTACAGAACAGCTTTATTTGCTTGCTCCTTCAGCCCTGAGTTCAGCTGTCTGGTTGGTTCTAAGATGCGTGAACATCACAGAATATTTCTAGATACATAAAAACAAATTTAGAGAACATCTTGGTCTAAAGGAACTCATTTCTTAAGCTCTTACCCACTCAAGCAGTTATAACACCCGCTGCTTCCCACAAGTACATCCCAGTGAAATCTTGTTTCCCAGTGTGGAGGCCCAAAAATGTCTATTTTCACCTTGACCAAAGGTCAGAGAGTTGGAACTTAGCTCTGTTCCTTCAAGGTTATTGTGTTTCTACCTCAAACAAGGTCACACCTAGATTCAGGTCAGAGAGTTCTACTCTCTCAAGGTTATTGTCCACAGTGTGGCTAATAGCCAGACCTTGTGCTTCAGGAATAGAGAAGTACATATGTTTCTGCCCCTAACAAAAGTCTAGGATCCAACTACAATTCCAGTTTCTTTCAAGAGATAACATTGGATTCCACACAGGGAGTGGTTTGTCTACAGAATGTTTTGGTCTAGGATGTGTATTTGACTTGTTTTGTTCTAACAACAGAATGTTTAACTATGGAAGTAGCTCACAACCTTCTATTAGTGGAGGGTCTGTTTGTTTGTCCTGGCCACTCAGCTAGTTTAGCCCCAAAATAATCACACAGAAACCGTATTAATTAAATCACTGTTTGGCCCATTAGTTCTAGCTTCTTATTGGCTGACTCTTACATTAATTAAACCCATTTCTATTAATAAGCATATTGCCACATGGCAGTGGCTTACCGGGAAAGAGTAGGTATGGCTGACTCTGTTGGCTCCATGGCGTCTCTCTGACTCTTCTTCCTCCCAGCATTCAGTCCAGTTTTTCCACCTACGTAAGTTCAGTCCTAGCAACAGGCCAAGGCAGTTTTTTTTATTGATTAACCAATAAGAGCAACACATAGACAGAAGGACCTATCACACCATTTCCTCTTTTCTGTTTAAACAAAAAGGAAAGTTTTAACTTTAACGTAATAAAATTACATATAACAAAACAGGTTTCAAGCAAGAATTACAGATATAAATATTCGAACTACTTTTTAATCATAACCAAGGAAAACTATACCAATCTCTACCTATTCTTCAACTCTATCAAAGACTCTAGAAGGATATAATATTACCCAAGTAAATATGAAGTGAATTGTAAGCAACTTCCAAAATGCAAGAATTGACAGAGACATCTCGTTATCTGGACAGTCACCCAAAGTTCTACTGCACCATTGGGCCATCCTTTTTCAGCCTACGGGCCCTCAGTATCCAGCAGACTTTTCCATGAAGCAGGAAATTTCAAAGACTGTTCCACCTATATTAGCAGTTTGTCAGTCACTTTCTTCTGTGTTGTGCAGAATGCTCGGCAGACTCTCTCATGAAGCAGGAACCCTGAAGGATCATCTCACCTTTAGGCAAGTTCAGCAGTCATTTCTCTGTGGGTCCTGCATGTCCAGTTATGCAGTCCAGGAAAGAGCAGTTTCTTGCCCAAATGGCCAGCAAACTCCATAAGGAGCGTCTTCGATGCCCATCTTCCTCTTGAAGTAGCTTGTGCTGCCAGGAGCAGATGTGTATCATTGTCATGAAAATCATAGGTCATTAAAACATTTTAAATCCCATATTCTGTAGTCTTTGAAAGGTTAGAAGAATGGCTACCTATCTGAAATACATCTCTGTACATCTAGAAAATCTTGACTACAATAGGTGATTATATATTAACCTGTATTTCTTAATTACAAATCACATTTTTTAAATGGACTGCAAAATCACAATGCCTTAATCAAGAGTAGAAATATACGTATAACAAGATTGACCTTGTATTTTTTATCAATAAACCAAGATCCATACCAATGCAAATCTCCATAGCATATCCCCACACCTAAATGTAAAGAAGCACCTACAAACAATATTTGAAAATATGGGTGTGGTTTTGTCCAAAATGCTTCCTGCTGTTTGGGAGCACTGTTAATCAGGTCTTTCATGGTGTATCCTGTGTGCTAGGTTCATCTAAGTCAGCAGTTGGGCGGTGAGTGCATAGGCAGGACCGGCATTCTTCAGCAGCAAGGGCCTCCCACCCGCCATCCACACCAGGGAAGACCTGGAGATTCCAGAGACACACGAATCACTGTCCACCTCATCCCTACCCTCTGGCAGCAGAAGCGCAGAGGACGCTGGGGCCCTGATGGCTGCACGCCAGAGACATAAACAAAGTCAGAAGGAGGCCTGAACACTAGGAGACAACCCAGGGCTCCTCCCCAAAGGTCAGCCTTGACACAGGGCACAGGGGCAGCCATGACACCAAGTCCTGACCCCTGCATGTGGACCCTGTGGCTGCTACAGGGGTCTGGGAATTGAGAAATCCCTAAGGGCCGGTGAGGAACAGCTCAGCACAAGAAACTTCGTAGATGAAAGATGATGAGAACGCGCGTGTCCTGATGACTTGAGGGTATGCGTGAGCTATCGACGGTCGTTATTATCAAAGGAGAGGTGTAGGAGGAGAAGAGGGGCATAGGGAGAGGCTGTGGGGTCAACAGCCAGAGCTGGGGACCGGAGGGAGAAAATGCACTGGGCACAAAGAAGATAAAAAGAGGTCATAAAGCGAAGTGAATAGGGCACACAGGAGAGGGCAAAGCTGTGTATCATAGGCCCAGCGGGCTGAGGATCTCTGGCTGGATGTGCCCTGTGACCCCACACAGTGAGCCCTGGGCAAAAGGGCTTGTGAGCAGCGCTGTGGCTAGGGCGCCTGCGCGTCTGCTGGAGCTGGAAAAGGCTGGGTGCCGGTAGCCGAGCGCAATCAGGGTGAGAGGAGAGTGCGGAGAGGCTTCGTGGGTGTGGGTACTTTAGTGTATCACGTACTGTGGTTATTTTCTTGGCGGAAAAAAAATGTGTAGTCCAGGCTGGCCTCGAACTCCAGATCCATCTGCCTCTGCCTCCTTCACCGGCCTGCGCCACCAGAGCCGGCGGGAGCCAGGCTTGATAAATTGCTACTTGAGGAGGAATTGCAATGACGCCACTGGTACCGCCCTCGGAGGAGGAGGGCAAAATCTTAGATGTAGTTTTAAACTCAACCTTTTTCTCAATCTCAACTCTCACCGCAGAAAAACACCTTCAACAGTCACCGAGCCTCAATCACCTACTTACTCCCTTCACAGTGCTTTTCACCACACATCCAACGAGTCAGGGCAAAAAACAATCTCATTAATACTTTCCTACCTTTTCTTACAGAAATTTACAGTCGTACGCTTTTAGCTCTTTAATTCATTCTGACTTCATTGCTGTATATGGTGAACAGTAACACCCAAACCTGCGTGCTTATCCAGTTCTCCCATCGTCATTGGCCCAAGAGACTGTCCCCCTCACTCCCACGGTGTCAAGATCCTGTGACCACAGACGTAAGTATTCAATAATACTCATTGTTCTGTAATCTTTTACTTTGGTTTATTTTGCTCTATGCCAGTACAATACTTATTATTATAGGTTGCTAATATATTTATTTTCACATGAGCCTACTTAAGTCCTCCAGCTTTGTGTGCTTCCAAAACTGTTTTGAATGTTTCAAATACGTGCAGTGCTAGTAAACGTTATTAAGGTTTTGACAGGGATTTCTTTGAATCTGTAGATGATTTTGTTAGTATGGTCGTCTCCAATATTTATTCAGCCAATCCATTAACCCAAGATGTCATTTATTAGTGTTTGCTTTAATTTGATTCTGTTTTCTGACTTCCACTATATAAAGTATTCACATTACAGTTTGGTTTATTCCTATTTTAGCCTCTTCCGTTGTATCGTTAATGGAGTTATTTTAACTTTCTCTTCGAATTGCTCATGGTAAGTGTTGTACACAGATGACTGCGGTGTTTTAAATAAGAATATACTGCGTGGTCCTGAGCGTTTGAACACCCGGGTCCCAGGTGGTGGTGATGTTTGGGGAGGGTTAGGAGATGTGACCCTGCTGGAGGAAGTATGTCTCTGGGGACAGGCTTTGCTATCCTAAGTCCCACCCTACTTCCTGTTTGCTCTGTTTCATGTTTGTATTCCAAGATGTGAGCTCTTAGCTTCCTGCTCCAGCTACCATGTCCTCCTGGTACCTCTGCCCTGCGACTATGGACTCTCATCTCCCAGAGACAAACAGACAGACAGACACAAACACAGAGAGAGACAGAGAGACACACAGAGAAAATCTTTTAGTTTTTATACATAATATGTTCTAGGTCCAGTAAGTTGGCTCAGTGACCAGAGTGCCTGCTGCCAAGCCAGAGGACCCAGAGTTTGACCCCCAGGACCCGTGTAGTAGACTTCTGTTAGTTGTCCCCTGAGCTCCACATGTGTGACATAATATGTACACAGGTAAACGCATGTACACACACACACACACAAATAAATAAATAAATAAATAAATGTAACTTTTAAAGAGTTTGTTCCCTGCTAACAGAGAATAATTTTATATATTCTCTAAGAGAGATATCTTTGTTTTTAACCCCTTTGGTGTGCCTATTGTTACACCCAGATCTGCGGAGTCCCCCCCCCCAAAACTAACAAGGAGACCGAGTCCCATATGTAAAAGCAAAGAGTCTTTATTCATACACAAGCTGGCAAACTCAAACTCTAGTGTGTCCAATGGATTAGTGATCTGAGAGACCTGAGCACAGCTGTGTGGGTTTTTTTGTTTTGTTTTTTTAAATAATAGCAGAGGTTGAGGTGAGGAATTTTAAAAGTTCAGGACCCCTGATTGGCTGACATTTGTCTAGGGGTGTCCTGGTGGAAAGGGATGGGTGTGTGCTGGCAGGAATTTCCTTTGTTTCTGAATGGTTTCGGTTTCTGGTCTTTCTTGGAACCAAGTATTGCCTTAGGGTAAACTACTGAGCCTCAGATCAGTATTGAGCTTGTCGTGGCTGGGTCATACACCTATAACCTCCAGTCTTGCACTGTACAGAGGTTTGCATTACTGGAAAGTGGGCTTAGAACTGCATCTAAGATTTTGCCCTCCTCTTCCGAGGGCGGGGCCAGTGGCGTCATTGCAATTCCTCCTCAAGTAGTAATTTATAAAGACCGATTCTCGCCGGCTCTGGTGGCTCAGGCCGGTGAAGGAGGCAGAGGCAGGTGGATCTGGAGTTCAAGGCCAGTCTGGACTACACATTTTTTTTTTTTCTTCAATCTCTGTCTGTAACACCCACAAACAGCTAATTAACAACTAACGCCCAATAGTCACAAGGCCGCTCACCGTTCTCCTTACACCGGGATCCTGCTCGATTACCCGCGTTCCCCCCAACAGCCCCTCCAGACGCACAGGCGCCCGCTACACATGCTGCTCACAAGCTCCTGCCCATGCACTCGCCCGACCGTCCCTAATGCCCAAAAGAGCCATTGTCTCTAAAACTATAGAATCTGCCTTTTTACAGTTTAAGGCAGATGCCCACTAGAACCCAGAATAAGTGAGAATGGTATCATGAACATATTATAACTTTACAAAATATAATAAATAAAATACATCCATTTGACAACGTTTTATTTTATTTTTGCATACCTTTAGGATTTGTTTTGGCAGGTAAAGGAATTTGATTATAAAAGGAACAAACAGGACAGCTTTTTATAATTTCCTTAGCTTGTTGCCAAGTAACAGAATTTTTTTCTTTAATCCCCTACTGTTACCATAATGTATCTTATGAAATTTAGAGACTTTCAACACTCTTCCTATTAATAATGGAAGGGAGTTCCAGTGAATACTGAAATTGTCCACGTTTAATCTCCAATTCCTGAAAATACCCAACCCTAAAGTAGGAGAAAGATAAAACAAACAAACAAAAAACAAAAACAAACGAAACAAAAACAAAAAACAAACAAAAAAACCCACTGCATTACCATGATACAAGAAAATGAACAGACCAGTTGAAGGTTGGGTGCTACATCCATAGTTAAACATTTTGTTGCTAGAATGAAGCAAATCAGGCTTTCACCCAAGACCAAAACATTCTTTAGGAAAATCACTCCCTGAGTGGACTCCATTGTTATCTCCCTAAGGGAACTGGAACCTTAGTTGACTCCCTAGACTTTTGATTGAGGTAAAACATATCTACTTCTCTATTCCTAAAATATAAGGGCTGGATTTTAGTCACACCTGTTGACAATAATCTTGAGAGAGCAAAACTCTCTGATCTATATCTAGATGAAACATTTGTTTGAGGTAAAAACACAATAACATTAAAAGAATAGAGATTAGTTCCAAGTCTCTGAATAGAGTCAAGTTCCAACTGCTGACCTTTGCCAAGGTGGAAAGAGGCTCATATATTTGGGCCTCCACAGTAATTGATCAAGTTTTGTTTTTTTTTTTTTGTTTTTTTTTGAGACAGAGTTTCTCTGTAGCTTTGGTGCCTGTCCTGGAACTAGCTCTTGTAGACCAGGCTGGCCTCAACTCCCAGAGATCCGCTTGCCTCTGCCTCCCGAGTGTTGGGATTAAAGGCGTGCGCCGCCACCACCACCCAGCAATTGATCAAGTTTTGCTTTTTTTTTTTTTTTTTGCTAATGATCCAGCCAATCCAGTATAAGATCGAATATAAATAATATAAAGTGGGCAATTTCTTTTTTTAGATTATCTGTTGTAGTTGCACAAATAATAAAGGTAATGCTGAATCATTAGGAATAGGTTTAACAGTCTCCATAAGCAACACAACTCTTTTTGCGTATTGAGAATCAGTAATTATGTTGAGAGGTTTCTTAAAATCTAGTAAAACCATCAGAATGGCGTACAGCTCTGAGTTTTGGACTGAGTCATGTGGAATTTGAACAACCTTACTGTTGGTCCCTGCTTTATAAACAGACATTTCTGATTTGTTTGCACCAGTATAAAATGTAACAGCCCCAGAAATAAGTGCCCTTCTCACTGTGCAGGGAAGAATCCGGTTAGTTCTTTTTATAAACTGAATTTGCTTACGCTTTGGATACTTGTTGTTAATATTTTTAAAGAAATTACTACAAGCTCTTTGCCAATCATCATTAATCCCCCAAATTTGCCTAATTTCAGCATTGGTATATGATATATACCATAATCTTAGCTGGATCCATACCTGACAATTGACAAAGTCTTACTCTTCCTTCTATAATCAGTTTAGAAACTTTTTTATATGGGTCTTTGATTTTTTACTGTTTGTGAGCTAAGAAAATCCATTCCAAAATATTATTCTCTCTCTGTATAACAAGCCCAGTATGGAAATGATTTGAAGGTAAAATTGCTAAAATAAACCTCTTTGTGATGTCTAATCTATCCACATAGGGTTTTATAATTTTTGTTATACTAGGGACAATTTCTTTTGTCAGCCTCGGCTATTAACTGTCTTGGATTGTTTAACTCTGAGTCACCTGGCAATATTTGAAAGAAATTAGTTAATTTTTGAGTACACAATCCAATTGCAGGCCGCAACTATTTGACATCTCCTAATAACCTTTGAAAATCATTAAGAATATGCAATCAATCTCTCCTAATTTGTGCTTTCTGTGGTTAAATTTTTAGTTTATTTAACTTATAGCGTAAATAGCTTAGAGAATCTCCTCTTTGTACTTTTTTAAATTTTTTAGATCTGTAATCTCCAATAAGATAAATTTTTGTGTAATGCATTAAACATTCTTTTTAAGGTATCAGTATCAGAAACCTCCAATAGAACAGTGTCCAGATAATAACAGATAATAAATTGAAGAAAATGTTCAGGTACTGCTTTTAGTGGTTGATTTACAAACTATTGACACAAAGCTTAGCCGTTTACCTGTGGAAGGATATTCCAGTGATATCTCTTTACTGACTGAGAAATATTATAAGTGGGAACTGTATAAGCAAATTTATTTCTATCCTGTTCTTGTAGAGGAATAGTAAAAAAACAATCTTGCTAATCAATAATTATAATAGGCCAGTTTGGGGCAATAAAGAAGGTAAAGGGATCCCAGTCTGTAAAGGTCTCAAATGTTGAATTATTTTATTAATAGTTCTTAGATCAGTTAATATTTTTCATTTTTCAGATTTTTTTTAAAGAACTGGTGTTTTATTTTTATTTTTTATTTTCTCCACTCCCTTCCCTATGTATACAGCATGCATGCCTGCAGGTCAGAAGAGGGCAGCAGATCTCACTGTTTGTAAACTGGGAACTGAACTCAGGACCTCTAGAAGATCATCCCAAGCTCTTAACCTCTGAGCCATTTCTCCAGCCTGATTTTTTTTTTTAAACAAATACTAGGGAATTTTAAGGACTAGTAGTTTCCTCAGAGTGTTTGCTTCTGTTTCTAACTGTTCTTTCACAAGTTCCTAAAACGCCTGCAATTGTTCTTTAGTTAAAGGCCACTGCTCTATCCGCACAGGCCTCTTTCTTAGCCCTTTGAAAGGCAGAGCAGTGGGGTTGTCAGCAGTGGC